AAAAAAAAAAAAAAAAAAAAAAAAAGAATCGATAATTATCGGCGGAAAGCCACGTTTCCAATTAGAGTATTCCTTTATATACAGTGGCCGAAGTGAACGCAGTTGTGACGCGGATGCGTTTATCAATCGCATAGTTCAAACAGAGTTTCTATTAAGCTTGGTTAGCGGTCAGGCACAAAGAGTGAAACACGGAGGTAGAACGAGACAAGCTGCTCACGTGAAACTGCCACGTCTATTTGCTCTTCCTATTTTCGTAGCCGTTTGGTATATAAAGAGCCCGTCCTCGGGACATTGCCGAAAGATTTGGCAGCGATCCGCGGTTTTCTGCGCCGCGGCACTTGCTGCGCCGTAGATAGAGTCGCTAGAGAAGACGAACGCGAGCATAGTTTACCGGGAGGAATCGTGGCGGATGTGCCGCGTTCGCGCGTACCGTCTCCGGGTTGCTCCGATTTCCCGCGCTCTTAGATCTCCTGGGATAGATCTCCCTTCCGTCCCCCTTTCTTTGGGATCTCCCTCCACAAGCTTACTCTCCTTCAAAGTGGAATAGTGGAGAATCGCGCGCCTCCCAATAATGGGATTTCCGTCCAATTGTCGTCGAAGGGAGAAGGATCGTTTCAGAAAGATCGGTGCGAATTGAATTGAATTGAATTGGATTGGATTGGATTCGATTGAAAAAAACTGAAACCCACGTGCTCTGAGGCCGGTCTTTTCGGCGAGTGCTGCTTCCTTACCCCTCGCGATCCTGTTCGGACGTAATAATAACGCCGTGGTTGCCAGCTATCCGGGGTAAATTGGATCTCGCTCGAGACGATGCACATATTTGGCGCTAATGGAAGATAAATAAAACATCGTGGTGATAGGATATACGTGATATACAGTGTAGTACGAGGGAAGGATCTTTGGGGAGAGGGAGAGAGGGAGAGGGAAAGTGTGTGGGGTGGTATTTGAAAATTGGTGAACGGAAGGAATGGTGGAGGAGGCACGTTGATTAGACATAATGGGAAATACGGACAGCGTCCACGACGTGGAGATGAACTCTTTGTCGAATGCAGACAATGATCGTCCTTACATCAAGGTGATTATCGTGTGATACCAATTTTTTGATTTTTGCATAGCACAATGTTGTTGAGTGAATGAACAAATTATTAACATTTGTTCAAGTGTATAAAAAGATGTGCATTAATGGTGTTGATCTCTTCGAAAATATGTTGTATTTCAATTCGAACAATTGAAATGAAATTTCTAAATCGGGAAAATAAGAAAAGGAAATAAGATAAGTGTTGTTAAACGATTGTGATTTGAGGGGATCAATGAAAATGGAGCAACAGGAGTTTTATTCGTTCACGAGACGATTACGAAAGAGCATCATTGACAGGTTGAACAGGTTGTAGACCACGAAGCAATATTGATGTCTAGTTTAGCACGAGCGCCAGTTAAACAAAAATGCAAATATATGCAACTACATTTGCAAATATCTTGACGCAGTGATACCATACATTGCACATATTTACGTGGAACAGGGAACTATTTTTAAATCGCGTAAACAATATTTTTATTTTTCATTTTTTTTTTTTTTAAATTTACTAATTCTGCTTCTAGAAATTTTCGATACGATCCTATCGATACAATGTTATATATTTTAATAAATTAAACTGATTACTTATCTCATGTGTCATTAATATGATATTAATATCGTGTATTTGCACGATAAATGCTTATCTCTGAGATTTAATTGACCATGGTTCAATAAAATTATGGATTGAAATCTGTGCGATATTTATCTACTTTGTTCTAGTTGCTATTTTATTTCTTATGTTTGAATTTCCCGCCAAATGTACAACAGGATAATTTTATAAATTGTATTCAAAATTTCAATCCAATATATTAATGATTAGTTTATCATTTTTTATTTTTTTACTTTATTCTATGCCTCTCCAATTGTTGAAATTATTTTTTTA